AATTAAGAAAAGAAATTTAAAACAGTAGAGGGAGGAAACACTTAGACCACAAAAGAAAGCTTTCAAAGATTTTCATGTCTGCTTACCAGTTCGCGCAGGTAATGCCTTTCTTTTTCTGTTTGTGACCAAAAACGGAACGCTTTACATGTAACCTGCCTAAAAACCGCGCCCCTTTCCCTCATGATTTTATTGTTGTCAACTATATCTTCTGAATCCTTTAGTGTCTTCTGTAGCTCAGAAGTCACCGGCAAAAACTCTTTTTCCTCAAATTGGAAATCGTTTTGTTTCTGCAACCGTGTTATCTATTTTCCCTTATTTATTTCTTCTACGTTACTTCTGTATTATTCATTTCAGTTCTCAAATCGATATGCTAAAGCTAAACCCTTTCACCATGTAAAGAAACGAGTACATACCAAAAGAACGACGCTTCATTTTTTTGTTAGAAACAGAGAACGCTTCCCTTTGTTGTTAGAAACGAACAACGCTTTTAGAATCGTTACTCAAGCATATCTCAATTCCGAGCATAAGATCGATTTCTGTGTAGTCAAAGTCTTCATGGTATTGTTAGAAACCAAAAAAGAGTTTCTCAAGCTTACGAAACGTCCGTGAGTAAGAAACGATTACATACCAAACGAACAACGCTGCATTTTGTTGTTGGAAACGAACAATCTTTCCCTTTGTTGTTAGGAACGAACAACGCTTTAAGAATCTTTATGGTGTTATCGGAAACAAAGAGCACTTTAGTGATAAAAATTTCTCAACGTTATTGCCTATTAACAGTTTGAAATTCAGATCTTTTTAGTGTTTGTTTCTTCGGGCAACTTGACTTTTTTTTCGGGCGACATAACTAAAATTTCGGGCAACATGACTCAGGTTTCGGACCGAGCATTTTAGTAGGGAAAATGGAGCATTAGCCATTAAGGTGGAGCAATTTAGTGGAGAAATAAAAGCATAATGCGTCGTTAAAAGTCGTGTCTGACAAAAATCGTAAGAGCGCTCCCTTGTCATTGTCTCGCTTGTCTAAACTCCCGTGCAAAGCGTGCGCACGTTAATTTCATTACCATTTAGATAAGCTCGGACATCTGTCCGCTCATTGGGCCCATTTACATGGAAAGAGGATGATCCTAGCTCTAGGATCATC